GGCTTGCTTGAACTCAAACACTCCTTTTATTCTTTATCCTTAGCTGCTTTTCAATCCTCAACTCCTGATTAATTCGACTTTACAGTTCAAGGGAGACTAAAGATTCATTCTTTCACTCAGTAAAGCTATTTGACGATATTGAACAAGGTCAAGCTCCTTCCTTCAACTGAAAGTCAAGACTAAAGATGCTCTCCCCTTCTCCTATTGATCTTACTCTTTTACTCTCTCTTAAGGATAGGACAGGACCATTTATTGGATTTGTGACTCTATTCCATGAGCTACTGAACCGGAACGAACCTCTCTCCCCTGCCCTTCCCTTATTTCAGTCTGTAAAGCTTCTGGACCCCATTTCTTTCTTTAACTCAGTCTTGAACTCAGGAAAGCATATGAAATGACTTGACTCTCCCTAACCAGTAAACGAAAGACTCAACTGAACAAGATGCATTATCCTTAACTACTGCCCCTTACTTAACCCTTCTCCTTCTTTCACTCTTGAACTCGAGAAATCGGTGGGATTCCCTTATTTTATTGTATTGGTCTCACAGGCAGCACTAAGTTCAAGTGTCAATTATTAGCCCAGATAAAGAAGAGAAGATGATCGTAACCCTGCATTGGCCTGGCCTTCAAAGACTCTTTTCCTCTCTCTCTTGTAACAAGGATTCATGGGACTGATTTCACTCTTGAACTAGGTAAAGCAGCTGGCTGAAAGGTCAAGCAAGCTCATCCACCTCTCCCTTCTTGAACTGTAAACTACTGAACCTATTTATTCTGGACCAGCTCTTTCTCCTTTCTTTCTTCACTCTCCTAGACTCAAGCAAGAAGGATGAATTCGATTAACCGCTTGTTCCGTTAGTGTTTCTTATTCTGAGGAAGTGATTGTTAACCTCTGCCTGATTTCACTCTTTCCGTCGGTAATCGGTAATAGGTGTTCTTTCCTCCTTTCTTTCTTCATTCTCCTTCCTGAACTATCAAAGAGAAAGCCAAAAGAAAAGATTCATTCTCTTCTCCTTCGGCTCTCCAACTATCAGTCTGCTTCGCTCCTTGATTTTATTGTATTGGTCGAGTTGCTCCGCTCCTTTTCCTTCTTTCACTCTTTTACTCGGGAAAGCTATTTGAATGAAGAACCTGAACCGTAAACTGATTTCACTCCTTTTCCTCTGCCTGAACTGTCAAAGAGAAGAATTACTCTACTCAGAGGCATTCTCCTTTTTTTTCTTTCTGGCTGGGGACTGGACTAGCTTCTCTTCTCAAGTGGGTTCATTAGCTAATTAATGGACTCCCTATCCCCCTATCGGTTATCGGTCTCGTTGCTTCCTTCGCTCCTTTTCTTTTCTTTTCTTTATTCTTTTCCTCGGTAACCTCCTGAACTCAATCACCTGGGCTGGGCTCGGCTCCTTCCTTGGGCTCTAAACAGCTTGGTCGTTTGGTTCTTTCCTCTTTCGTCTTAACTTGCTCTGGCCGTACGTAACCTCTTCTTGTCTTGACTTTATTCCCTTGCTTTCTTTCTTGAACTGGGTAAACGCATTAACCTGTCTGGTCTGTCGGTTTGTTTCCCAATTCTATTGCCTGAGCTATTGTTCTTGATTGAACTGGGTAAAGCAGTTGGCTGAGAAGAAGGGAGTTAGTAGGTTGAGTAAGCAAAAGGAGACTCAGCAAGAATGATCCTTCTCTCCTGCCCCTTGGCTTCGTCCCTTTCCTATTAATGTCATTATCCTAAACCGTAACCTGACGTAAAGAGAGAGCTGTATTCTGCTTTCTTTACAGTTCTAGAATAAGAGTGTCGGAACCTCACTCCTCTCGGTCTCACAGCTTTGTTCGCTCCTTCAGCTTTTCCTATATTCATTCCCTAAACTACTTCCCCGTAACCTAGTTATTCTGATTCTTCTCTTGCTGCTTGCTTATTCATCAAGTGTTTCAAGTCAATACTCATTCCTTATTCATGAGACGGAACTACTTTACTACTTTACGGAACCTATTTCTTCTTTCTCCTTGCTTGATTTCTAGAGGTAAACTGTAGGATGATTCTGGAACTCCTTTACTCTCTCTCCTGTAAGAAAGATTAATGAGACTGAGTTTACTATTCAGGACTATTACTGATTAACCGTAACCTGATTTCACTCTTTAGTACCATTTATTAAGAAATTTTATCCTCTGTCTATTTTTCGGGTTATTTATGAGGGTTTCACTATTCATTCTCCTTTAACTCCTTGATTGCTTGTTGTTCAGGACTATTACTTCTTCACCTTCACTCCTTTTATTCACTGTAACCGAAGAAAGGCGAAACAAGACTGAGAGTTCACTCCTTCAACTTGTCTCTCTTCTTTAACTCTTTTACTGGGTAAAGCGCTATTTGACGAACCTGAACGGGACCTTTCTCTTATGGAACTCCCCTTTTCCTCTCCAACTGGGGTTGAACTATCTATGTCTTCTCTCCCCTTCCCCGTAACCTTCTTTTACTCAGTAAAGCGGCTAAGTAAGTTAATGTCCTTCCTCTCTCTTCTATAAGATTCATTCGACTAAGCAGGAAGTCAAGACTGCTTATTCCTGAACCTTACCCTGATTGAACAAGGTAAGTCAGAGGGAACTAGGTCTGTTCTCTTTGCTCCTTCCCGTTCACTTCACCGATATTGCCTGCCTTTCCTGTCTCTTCTTTCCCAGTAAATAAGGTATGTTTGTCTCTCTCACTGCTTCGGGCCTCTCTCTCCTTTGTCTCACAGCTTCCTGCTTGCTTCTCGCCTTTCCTCTTCCTTTTTCAGCTATTTATTCTGGGTCTGTTCTCTTTTCTTTTCTTTCTCTTCTTTACCAGTAACTGAAGAAAGACTTAATCAAGAGTTGGAGAACTGTAATTCATTCACTCCTTCCTTCTTGACCTCGGTAAAGCAGCTTAGGATTGAATGTACTCTCTTGTAAACTCATGGAACCTATCCCCACTTCCATTGCCTGTCCCGTCCATTCAAACAGTCTGTTTGTCTTCGTCTTCACTCCTGGACTATGACTTCTTTTACTCGATAAAGCTGCTGAGGATTCTATTCTTCTTTCACTCGGGTTGGTTGACCAATTGCATTGGCTGAACCTTTTCCTTAATTCAAAGACTCAGTCTGGTAACTAGGTTACATCTTCCATCCTGTCCTTTCTTTCCGGTCTGTCTGTCTCTTCTTTCTCTCTTGCTTTCCTTACCTTGATGGAACTCTAAAGCAATTATGATCAGCTTTTCTGATATGACCTGACCTGATTGAACAGTAACCGAGGTAAATAGGTGAAGTAGCTCTTTTCTTTCACCTATGGATTGATTCTTTCACTATAAACTCCTGTCCCTTCCTAACTCATTTCCCCCTGCCTAACTCCTCTCGGTCTCACTGCTACTCTACTGTTGAACTCCTCCTCTCTCTCCCTCTGCTTGCTGCCTATTTATTCTTTTTACTAGGTAAAGCCATTTGTTGCCTGCTGCTAATGAAATGAATGTACTCTCTCCTTTTAATTCTCCTGAAGAGGAAGTCAAGACTCAAGGGAACCCCTGCCTGCCCCTGACCCGATATGATATCATCTAAGCTACTGAACCGGATTGTGAACTGTAAACTCCTCTACTCGGATATTCAATCCTTTTCTTTCCTATTTCTTTTCTTTCACTCTTTCCAAGCAAGGTAAGAGGGCTGGGCTGGCTGAGAATCTCCTTTCCTTCTCCTTCCTATTGGTCTGGTCTGTTTGTCTCATTGTTGTGCTAGCTTTGCTTTGTTTTATCCCCTGATGTAACTCTCGGTAAAGTGTATTCAATGAATTTACTCTCTGAACCTATCTATGGATTCTTTTCTTTAACTAATCCTTCTACTCTCTCTACTTACTCCTATTATTAATGCATTATGCTGAACTCAATCACTTGACGAACTGTAACCAAAGACTGAAGATGAATGAGAGAGACTGAACTCCCAGATTGAACTCGGTCAAGCTCACTCACTTGTCTTTCCCTACTACTATTTATTCCTTCAAAGACAAGGTAAAGCAAAAGCATATGAAGTAGCTCTTTGATTTAACGAGGTAAACTTCCCTATACAAAGAATATTCTCGTAAGCCTACAGCTCTTCTTGAACAAGGTAAAAGCCAAAGAGAAAGGAAAGACTCTTCTCGCAGCTTTCCTACTCTTTATTCTTGAATGAGACAGACTGCTAAACTACTGAACTACTTCTTCACCTATTGATTCAAACACTCACTCGGTAAAGCATATGAAATTGATTCTCCTTAACTTCACTCCTCTCATTTTCCTCTAGATTCCATTGCCTGCCCCTGACCGGATATTACCTAACCGACCTTGCCGAGCTAGCCTAGCTTTCTTTCTTCTTTGTTTTATTCCCTGCCTGATGGAACTATCAACGAGAGATACTCCTTTCCTTATTCATTCGACTCAACCTTTTACAATATTCCCTATTAAAGAGGTCATTTCATTCAGAGGTAATTACATAGGCTAGATGAAAAGAAGGTTAAGCTCCTGCATCGTAACCTATTCTATTGGTTGGTCTCACAAGACTAAGTTTCAGTCTTTGCCCAGATAAAGAAGATTAGAGTATACCCCTGCAAAAGAAGATTAGAGTATAACTCTGCATTGAACTGATTTCACTCTATTACTCTCCTCCCTCCTGTAAGAAAGACTCTCCCTGCCTGACCCGGACCCTACCTATGTTAGGTTACCTTATTCATTCTCTCTCTATGTTACTTACGTTACCTTATTCATTCATTCTCTCTCTATGTTACTTACGTTACCTTATTCATTCATTCTCTCTCTCCTTCCCTGTACGTAACCTTCTTTTCTTTTCTTGCTTGCTTTCACTCCTTTCCTTAACCTGATGTAACTCCTCACTCTGTCTGCTGCCTTGCCTACTTACTCATTCCCTTCTGATTGATTGAAGAAGGTCTGTCTCTCTCATTGCTGCCTCTCACTGAAAAGACTGGGTAAAGGGTCTATTTGTCTTGTCTGTCTTGTCTGGCTTCTCTGCTCCTGACTACTCTATTTCTTCTTTGTTCTTCTCTTGCTGGATTCTTGATTGAACTCATTTACTACTCTCCCTGCCTGAACACCTATGGATGTATTCTTTCTCCTTGCCTTGAACCTTGGCTTCTCTTTCTTCTCCTTTCTTGACCTGTAAACTAAGTCGAAAGAGAGTGACGGAACGGAACTCATTCACTTGTTCACCTCTCCCTATTAAAGAGGTCATTTCCCGAGGTAAAGCCAAGCCGCTGCAGCTAATTCATGTCCTCTCCTGTAAACAAGTGAAAGAAAGCCAAAACACTCCTTTATTCATTCAAGTTTAACAGGACTATGACTGATTAACCTGAACCTTCCCGAACACATTCATTCGCCTACCTTACCTATTCTTTCTGGTCTCATTGCTTTGCTCTTTGCTTTCCCTGCCCTATTTCTATTTATTCAATCAAAGACTCTTTCACACTCACTGTGTAACCTCAATCAATCATTACTGACCCTTTAGCCAGCTTCAGATTCATTCTCCTTACCTTAACTACTGAACCTGCCTCTCTTTACCCTGACCCTCTATGACCTGATTTGACAAAGAAAAAGAGAAATACTCCTCCCTCTTCTCGTGGAGCTGCTTGCTTGCTTGCTTTGCTTGCTTCGCCCCTCTCTTCTCTCTCAACAACTCGTTAAAGTGGCTTGCTTGGCCCCTTTCTTTTCCTCTCCTGCCTGTAATTGTAAGAAAGATGCATTCTCTGCTGCCTGCCTGCCTACCTTCTTTGACTGCTCTCCCTATGTATTCTTCTAATGGACTTGACTGGACTCTCTTGTAACCTCATTCCCCTTTCCCCTTTCTTTGACTTCCTGATTTCACTCTTTGCTTGCCTTGGCTCGTTCTCGCATATTCTCTTCATTATCAAGAACTCCGTAACCTTTCTTTAGAAAAGAGAGAGCAGCATGCCATTCATTTATTCTCCTTGCACTCTGTACGTAACCTAACCTATCCTAATAGCCTTTCTTTCTTTTCTTTACTTTACTGTTCGAAAGCCTAAAGATGAAACTGAACGATCGGAACTCCTGCTCTTTCTCCTGCTCCTGAACTACTCTAACTCTACTCCTTTATCTTTCTTCCTTCTCCTTTACTAAACGTAGAGTCAAGACGAAACTCAGGATTCCTGAACTACTGAACGATTGACTATCTTATCTGAGTTTACAGTCTTTGTTTGAAAGAGGGGAGACTCTCTACTCTCTCTCAAGCTCCTCCTGATTTCACTCTTTTACAAGGAAGGTGGTAAAGTGACGAACCTGACTTTGACTTCTCTCCCTATCGAGAGGCTTGGCTCCTTTTCTTTTCCTTTTCCTATTTCTCTCTTTCTTATTCTCAATTGAAAGGAAGATTAGCTCACTCCTTACTTAAAGGAAGATTATCTCACTCCTCTTCCTGATTCCACTATTCAATCACTCTGTAACTCAATCCAATCACTACTTCCGGACCTCCCCGAGGTAAAAGAAAGGTGTTTGATGGAAGGAACTGTCCCCTCACTCGGGTTGAACTACTTTACTCTTCTTGTTCTTTACCTACTAGCTGTAACTGTAAACTGGCTGGGAAGGGGAATCTTAGCTAGCTCTATCTCTGATCTTTCTCCTGCCTACCTGACTGACTCTTACTCTTACTACTCTTACTGATTTAATTCTTGTTATTGTGTGAGTTATTATTCTATTTTTTAACTGTAAACAAGGGAAACTCTTTATTCCTTATTCTTTCTCCGAACCTATTGATTCTTTCCCTAGGTAAACTGATCATTAAGTCAAACAAACTCTTTATTCCTTATTCCTTCTGCTGACCTACTGAACCTATTGATTCTTTCCCGAGGTAAACTGATCATTAAGTCAAGTCAAACAAACTCCTTTCACACTATACGCTATTTATTACTTCCCTCTGAGTAAGACTCAACTAAAGATGAATTATATCCTTCCTTTACTATTCGTTCTAGAATCAAGGAGTTAGCTGCAGCTTGCTGTGAAAGACTGAACTAAACCTGCGCCTGCCCGGCCCCTTTCTTTACTTTCTTTGACTCTATGACCTTCGGAGGGAAGTCAAGCTAACCTTTCTTTCTTTCTTTACGTAACTGTTCGTTCCGGTGTTTAGAATCAATCAAACAAACAAACTTAACTGTTCCGGTGTAACGTAACTGTTCGTTCTTTCTGTCTGCTTTGGCTTAACTGTTCTGCTCCGACTTAACTGTTCTGCTCCAGCTTAACTGCTCTTCTCTTCTTTCTTTCTCTCTTTCCTTTCCTGCTTGCTTTTGGCTTAACTAACTAGCTGCCTTGGCTGCTTGCTTTGCTTGCTGGCTTTCTCACTCTTTTACTCTTCACTATTCTTTCATTGGGTAAACTGTAGGATGATTCATTCACTGCTCTCTTAACTCAATCACTTGTCTCTGAACGAGGTAAATAGGCTTTGATTCCCTCCCTTCTTTACACTCTGGAACAAGCAAGGGAAAGGAAATAGGTTGGATTGGATGATTAGCTCCTGCCCCCCTCTTTTACTCTCTTTCTCTGATCTTCACTCTTTGCCTCTCCTCTTGTAAACAAAGACTAAACTCTGGATGAATGAGAGGGAACGAAAGAAAGATCTGCTCCTGAACCTGAACCTATCCTATTTCACCTATTGAAGAAGGAAGGCCTAGCTCCTTACCCTAAACCCGCTGTAACTCCTCTGATCTTCTCGTCTGTTTGCTTTTCACTATTCTCCTTAACCTACTACTTGACTTACTCATTAACCTCTTCTGGTCTCACAATTTAATTGCCCGAAACTGATTTAAGTGATTCAGCTATTGGTCTCTTTCTTCTTTCTCTTTTCTTTACCGAAGGTAAATGGGATAGTAGTATAGTCTTTGTCCTTTAACTCAATGACTTGTCTGTTCGTTCAACCCCTTGGTAATAAATGGATAGTATGAACCTCTTCACCTTTCACTGAGACTTCGCCAGTAAGTCAAGATTGAACCGCCCCTCTCTTCTGACTGCTATTTCACTCTTTCTTTTACTCTCTTCTGGTAAAGAAAGTTGTTAATTAATTATTGACTCTACGGCTGAAGGGTGGAACTCTTTCTTTCTCTTTCTCTGTTCTTTGCTTTGTTGTTTGTATATTCTGCTTGCTTTTAGGACTGAACTCCTTGTGACTAAGAGTGCACTGCTGATCTTTGTCCTCTCCTCCCTCTGACTACTTAACTTACTGATTTCTCTTTTCCGATCGCTATTGCCTGTATGGTTCTGTAACCAAAGAGACTTAAGATTCCTTGACCTGATTTAACTTGGTAAACAAGAGTATAGGAGTCTAATTCTTGAATGAACTATTTTACTTGACTGTAAACAAATAAAAGGATGGAAGAGGAGAATGGGGTTGGCTGAACCTTATACTCTTTCTTCTTTGCCCTTTCGGTAATAAATGGGTTAGTTAAAGCTTGCATCTTCTGTTACTTTCCGGTCGAGCAGCAACTTGGTTGGCTCCTTCCTTTTCCTTGAAGAAGAAAGATTCATCCTACTCTATCGGTAGGTAAACGGGATATGATTCTCCTTTCTTTCGCTATCTGTAAACTCCAACTCAACCTGAACTAACCCTGAACCTGTGTGCCGCCCCTCTTTCTTTTATTATTCCCCTCGCTTATTTCGTAAAGCTAGAAGAAGAATCAACCTTTCCTTTCTAAAGACTAAGAGGCAAGACTCTCGCTGAATGATAGTTTACAGTGTTTGACTAAATTCTGGAGTTAGAGCAGCTGCTTTAGCTTTTCAAGACTCAACGTAAAGAAGAGGAGAATGAGCTGTAACAGGAAAGAAAGAATCAGACTCGGATATCCCTTTACTAAGTGTGGAGTAAATTCATTCAATCCCGAACCTTATACTCTAGTTGATTATTCCCTTACCTTCTTGAACAAGTAAAGACTGCAAGACAAGATTCGTGAGACTGAACACAAGATAAATTGATTCTCCTTATTTATTACCTACCTTAACTCCTATACACCTCTTTATTCTTTTATTCAGTAAAGCTCTATCTGTTTGTTTGCTTACTCGGTTTGGTTTCACTATTTCTTCTCTTTCTCTGCCGTAACCTGACCCTTAGCTTCTTTCTCTGACCCTTGAACTCCTACACCTCTTTATTTATTCTTTCATTGGGTAAAGCAAGGATTAAGAAAAAGGGAAAGCCGAAACAAGATGCATTCTCCTTAACTCGTAACCTATTCTATTGATTGATTGATTCTTTCTCCTGGCCCCTGAACCCAATACTCCTTTGCTGGATGGAACTCGTAGTAGGTAATCTGTTTGTCTGCTGAGCTCTTCTCTGGATCCTTAATTCTTGTTATTGTTAGTTACTTAGAAGGAAATAATTATGTTGTGAGTTATTCTTGAATTGACTAGGTAAGGTTCAAAAGCATATTCTTTCTCCGCCGTAACCTAACTATTTCACTCTTTCCACTTCTTGTGTTCTCTTTTCTTTCCTCTTCCTATTTCTTCTCTTTTACTCTTTGTTGTAACCAAAGACTCTTATTCTCCTTAACTCAATGACTTGTCCCGTACGTCCCTCTTTCCCAAGGTAAGTAAATTGCTGTATGATAAGGAAGAAGGTCAAGATTCCTTCTCCATTGACTATCTGAGTTTACCGTCTTTGTTTGAAGGTAGACAGACTAAAGGTAAAGATGAGAGGTATTGCGCGAACTCTTTTTCCCAAGGTAAAGTGAAGAGCCACCTAAACACCTGATTCATATTCAATTCTTCTTCTTTAATTCTCGAAAGATTCATTCTCTGTTTTCCTCTTCTACAACTTGGTAGTAAACTCCTAAGTGATTCACCTATTCATTCTGTGTTCCTAGTAAACGACGAAGAAACCGAACTCTTGCACCTCTATTCTATGACCATCAATTATTGTTCAGGGGTGAGTTATTCAACCGCTGTAAGCAAGGTAAAGCCGAAAGAGAGTTTATGAACAGGGAACTCAATCACTTCTTGGCCCTACCCTATTCTTTTATTCGGTAAAGCCTCAACTTCTTATTATAGAGAACAAGACTATTATTACTGATGATGAACCTGATTGGAACAACTCCTTATAACTCTCTTATTTATACTCTTTCTATTCTGTCTGAGCTACTTCAGCTGACCCGGAACCTGATTGACCTCGGCC